AGCTACCGGTCGGAGCCTCTGCCTCCTGGTGGTCATTACGTGTCATAGCTACCAGTTGGACGACCACTTAGGCTTTTATATATATAGATGCTGCAGTGAACATATGGATGCATATGTCTTTCCGATTTAGTGTTTTGAGTTTCTCCAGATAAATATCCAGGTGTGGAATTACTGGGTCCTTCTTTGTGTCTCTTTATATATATTGCCGTTGTTTTAGGGGCTATTTTGTCTGGTATGAATATTGCTGACCCAGCTTTTGTTTCGTTGTTTTCTTTCCTTTTTCATGAAACGTCTTTTTCTATCCGTTTACTTTTAGTCTGTATATGTCTCTTGATCAGAAGTGAGTCTTTTGCAGACAGTGCATGTGATGGTATTGTTTTCATATCCATTCAGCTATCCATTCAGTCAGTCTTTTGATTGGAGATTTAATCCATTTGCACTTAAAGTAATTGTTGATAGGTATGTATGTATTACCAGTTCATTTATATTTTTGATCTTCCTAAAGATGATACTTTAACATACCTTGCAATACTGGTTTGGTCATGATGAACTCCTTTATCTCTTAGCTTTTTCTTGTTTGGGAAGCTCTTTATCTGTCCTTCAATTCTAAATGATAGCTTTGCTGGGTAGAATAATCTTGGTTGTAGGTTCCTGCTTTTCATCACTTTGAATATTTTGTGCCAATCCCTTTTGGCCTGAAAAAGTTCCTGTTGAGAAATTAGCTCACAGTCTTATGGGAGCTCCCTTGTATGTAACTAACTGCTTTTCTCTTGCTGCTTTTAAAATTCTCCCTTTGTCTTTAACCTTTGGGATTTTAATTAGATGTGTCTTGGTGTGTTCATCTCTATACTTCCTGGACTTCGGAGCTTTTTTTCTTCACCAGATTAGGGAAGTTTTCAGTCATTATCAAATAGGTTCTCAGTCCCTTGCTTTTTCTCTTCTCCTCCTGGTACCCCTAAAAAGAGGGTGTTGTTATACTTGGTATTGTCCCAGAGGTCCCTTAAACTATTTTCTCTTTTTTTAAAAAAAATTCTTTTTTCTTTCTGCTGCTCTGAATGGGTGTTTTCTGCTACCTTACCTTCCCAATCACTGATTTGGTCCTCTGCTTCATCTAATCTGCTGTTGATTTCCTTCTGGTATATTCTTAATTTCAGTTGTTATGTTCTTCATTTCTTACTAGTTCTCTTTTATGGTTTCTATGTCCTTTTTTATGCTGCTGAAATTTTCACTGCATCCAATGAGCATTTTTATAACCATTGTTTTGAACTCTGTAATTGGTAGTTTGCTTGCCTCTGTTTCATTTAATTCTTTTTTCTGGAGATTTCTCCCATTCTTTTATTTGGGACATGTGTCTTAGTCTACCATTTTGGCTGCCTCTCTGTGTTTGTTTCTATGTATTTAGGTAGATTTGCTGCTGTGGTGGCCTTATGTAGTAGGTGTCCTGTAGGGACCAGTGGTGCAGCCTCTCTGGTCCCCTGAGCTGGGTGCTTCAAGTGCGACCCCATGCGACTTGTGTGCACCCTCCTGTTGTAGTTGAGCTTTGATTGCTATTGGTTTGTGAATGGGAGGGATCAACTCCCAGGCCGATTAGCAACTACAGTATTGGAGCTGCTATGCAGGGGCTGACCCTATAGAGCAGAATTTGCTTCAGCAGAGAGCTCTGGTGCCAGCAGTGTCCGCCCCTTGAGTGTGTCACTTGTGGAGTAGTAGGTGATACTTCAACATGGTCTGAAGCTAGCTACCATGTTGCACTGTCTCTGGGGCCTCCTGGAAGGTGTAGGCCAGGGGTGGGCAAACTTTTTGACTCGAGAGCCACAATGGGTTCTTAAACTGGACCGGAGGGCCGGAACAAAAGCATGGATGGAGTGTTTGTGTGAATTAATATAAATTCAAAGTAAACATCATTACATAAAAGGGTACGGTCTTTTTTTTTTTTTTTAGTTTTATTCATTTCAAACGGGGCGGATCCGGCCCGCGGGCCGTAGTTTGCCCACGGCTGGTGTAGGCCATGGTCAGCTACCATCTGTGCTCTGCCCAAGGCCACCCAGCATGAGCCTCAAAAAGATATGTATTTGATTGTTACTTGTGCTGGGCTTGGAGTTGCCCAGGAGAGGCCAGGCTGTGAACTGAGTCTGGCTGCTAGTGCCCACTTAGCAAGAGGTAAGCAGCATGCTGAGGCCAGATGTTGCTTGTTTGGGGTTTGTGAACCTTTGAGAGAATATAGGAAAATCCAGATCATAAGCCAAGACAGGATGTGTATATGGAAAAGCCATTGGAAGTCGATTGGGTGGGCCAACAAGTAGGGTGGGGCAGGTCTCGGGAAATTTCCAGGGCACAGTGTTAAACACGTTGATGGAGACTCAGATGTGGTGCCTGTCTGCATCTGCAGGGGGAGGGCTCAGCAAAGGAGCAGTAGCCTCTGCCTGCACTCTATGTGGGAGAAAGCTAACCCTCCAGCCCTTGCCCCAAAGCCAGACAATTCAGTTCCTTCTTGAATGTCTGTGGTGCCTTTCCAACTGCTGCCCCAGTGCTGGATCTCAGGGAGTAAGTCCATACATGAGCCCTTTAAGAGGACAGCCTGGGACTCCAGCAGCCCTCCCTCTTACTCAGCCACAATCTTCACTGCTTTTCACAGCCAGAAGTTATTGGATCTTCTCTTCCCAAGACTACGACTCTGGGCTGGGGAGCCTAGTGTGAGGCTAGGACTCCTTAATTCCTACTGGGACCTCCACAGCCAAGATATGCCTTGTGATTTTTAATCACCACACAGGGGTGCAGACCACTCTGTTCTGCATCTCCGCCCTCCTACCAATCTCAAGGTGGCTTCTTCTTTATACCCTTAGTTATAGGACTTATGTCAGCTAGATTTCACATGGTTCTCAATGATGGTTGTTCTGTAGTTGTAATTTTAATGTGGTTTTGGGAGGATGCAAGTACCATGTTTACCTTCTCCACCATCTTGAATGGAAGTCTCCCTTCTAATTCTTAATTGCCACACCCTGGGTGACGGAACAGCTCATTTTGCATCTCTATCCCTTTTACCAGTCTTGGTGTGGCTTCTGTTTTCTATCCTGTTCTAAAGATGGTTTTCTATGATGGTTCTATAACTTTATTGTAGTTTTTATATGGTCGTGGGAGGAGGCGGGCACAATGCTAACCTACTCTGCCACCCTGAAAGAAAGTAAGATAATTGCTTTTACATTATTCCTGATTTCAAAAAAGGATAGAAAGCCCTTGTGCTATTGTTATATTCTGGATGCTTTAGATTATTACTCATAGGATGTTCTGTCGTTAGTTTTAGGTTTTCTTCTTTTTATTGGATTTAGAGCTTTATTTCTTATTTCCTAGTTTGACTGCTTAGATATTCTTGCTTGCCTTTGGATTTTTTAAATCAAAATTAAAATTCTAATTCAAGATTGAAATTAAAAGTTGCTAACTTAAAAAAATTTCAGAGTTAAAGAATGTGGTCAGCTAACTCTTAGACCCAAATGCATTATTTTTATACTTAAGAAGGAGTTTTACAAGAAAGGGGAAAAGGAAAACAAATTGTTTTTAATTACTGATAACCAGTAATATATTAGTTGTAAAGGGAGTTACTGATTTCTATATCTAAAATTATCTCCCACAATAGATGATGAAAATCTAATATTAAACTTAATTATCAAAACTCTAATATAATTTGCCCGGCTGGTATGGCTCAGTGGTTGAGTGTTGACCTGTGAACCAGGAGGTCGAGGTTCAGTTCCCAGTCAGGGCACATGCCTCAGTTGTGGACTCGATCTCCAGTGGGGGGACATGAAGGAGGCAGCCGATCAGTGATTCTCTCGCATCATTGATGTTTCTATCTTTCTCTTCCTCTCTCTTCCCCTGAATTAAAAAACAAACAAAACCTCTAATATAATTTAAATAATCTGGATAGTTGAAAACACATATCTCAACACAGTTTCTTAAAGAATCTATTTTTGTAACTATTTTACCCAAGAGAAGAATTAATGTTTTTGTGTTTATCTTTGAAATGTTACTTATGCCTTAAGAATGTTCACTTGGGCTGTTATCAATTATAGATCAAATTCAGGTACATAAAACCTCAGAGTACACACTTTAAAGATTACACTTTCATACTACTGTCATTGGTTCTAAAAAAAAAATGGGTAATTGAGCTTTATATTCATCCATGAAAAACTATTAATACCTTTGATTTGGACTCGATGTAAATAAGATGTAATAGAATTGTAAGGCATGGGGTGATATTCTTACTGGTTGGAATAGCTAAGTCCCAGGAACAACTGTAATTAACATGGACTTGGTAGTAAGGAGAGAAAATCCTCACTTGTGCCGGGTTCCACGTCTTTTACTTCTTTGCTTTATATTGGGCAATTTACATCGTCATGACTTGTCTGTTACTAGAGTCCTCATTTGTAAAATGAGGTTCAGACTCATAAACTTTATATATTAAACACTTAACATTAAATGTAATAACTGTTGCTACTGTTATTTTCATACCTCTAAGCTTATATATTACAGAAATTAAACACCTTTTAATGTAATATAAATTGCAAATCAGTAAGACTATAAGAGCTATACATTATAGCTTTGTGGAGTTCAAATTACTGTTTTTTAATACATTGTGAATAAATTAATTTTAAAATTGCCTTGATGATGAGCCTTGGCCGGGTTGCTCAGTTGGTTAGAGCGTCATCCTGATACATATACCCACGGTTATTGTTTTGATCCCAGGTCAGGGCACATACAGGAATCAACCAATGAATGCATAAATAACTGGAACAACAAATCAGTGTTTTGTGCCCTTTTCCTCCCTCTTTCCCTTTCTTCCTCCCTTCCTTCCAAACTCCCTCCCTCTCTCTCTCTAAAATCAATAAGAAAAAAATTTTTAATTGACCTTGATGATGAAATGAACATGGAGGAAAATAATTTGTCAGGTTTTTTCAAGATGCTGTGTGTGTGTCTAATAGATTACAACTTTTTTCCTTTTTTACCAGTTATTTATCAGAAAGTCTGATGCTGAAAGAGAACAGAACTTGCTTGTCACAGTTATTAGATGTAATGAAAAGTAAGTAAAAGAAAACTTTATAAAATATTCTATAACAAAGTTACTTTGTAAAATATCTTAATATTTAACTTGAGATAACAGATTGTTTATGTTTACTGTCATTGAATTAATTGTATCATGGAGGCATGAAGGATATATTGGTGGGGAACAAATAGAAGATACACAAAAAGCAGTTTTTATACATATAGAACTTAAGAAAGTAAAAATACAATCAGATTTAGAAAGGGTTAAGTTTTAAAATAGGGTTCTTTTAAAGTGTAACCAAATATGTGATAGGCACTGAAAAAGATCTATAGGAAACTAAATTTAGGGATATTTAAATTTGGAGCTTCTATTTTATAGATACATCAGCTTTAACTAGTTAGTTAGCATGTGTCATTTGCTAGTCATTTTGTTAGTTAATATTACAAAAACTGTGGTTCTCAACTGGTTGCTATTTTTGCAATATCTGGAGACCTTTTTGGCTGTCACACTTGGGGCGTGATGGTGGCTGCTATCAGCATCTAGTAGGTAGAAGTAAGAATGCTGCTAAATATCTTATAATTCACAGTAAAGTCCCTTGGAAAGCTGAAAAATATCTCCCTCAAAGATATTCATGTCCTAATCCCTGGAGACTATAAATCTTAACATATATGCAGATGTTATAAAGTTAAGAATCTTGATATGGGGAGATTATCTTGGATTATCCAGGTAAGGCCTAGATGCAATCACAAGAGTCCTTGTTAAAAAAGGCAGAGAGGGAGGTGTGACACATAGAAGGCAATGTGAAGACAGCAGAGGGAGATTTGATGATGCTAGCCTTGAAAATTGGAGTATTATGGCCACAAGCCAAGGAATGTTGGTAGCCACCTGAAGCTGGAAAAGGGAAGGAATCAATTTCCCCCTGGGGTAGGAGTGGGGATAGTCTAGCTGGAGGGCCTTGTCCTGTCTAGGCATTAGGGATGAATTAATTAAATGTTTGACCAAATACAGCAGGCTAATTCTTTTTTTAAATTCTTTATTATTTAAATATTACATATATTTCCTTTTTCCCCCATTGACCTCTCCCTGGCTGCTCCCACTCGCCAACACATGACCTCACCCCCCCTACTTCTGTGTCCAGTGGTCATGCTTATATGCATGCATACAAGTCCTTTGGTTGATCTCTTACCCTCCTCCCCCCCCTCCCCTGCCTTCCCTCTGAGGTTTGATGATCTGTTCCATGTGTCTTTGTTTCTGGATCTATTTTTGGGTTCATCAGTTTATGCTGTTCATTATATTCCACAAATGAGTGAAACATGTGATATTTATCTTTCTCCGACTGGCTTATTTCGGTTAGCATAATGCTCTCCAGGTCCATCCATGCTGTTGCAAATGGAAAGAGTTCTTTCTTTTTTATAGCAGCGTAGTATTCCAGTGTGTAGATGTACCACATTTTTTTTAATCCACTCATCTGCTGATGGGCACTTAGGCTGTTTTCAAATCTTAGCTATTGCAAATTGTGCGAGCAGGCTAATTTTGAAGTTGGTAATTTTGTATGGCTGGCGAATGATGTTATAATTATTCAAATGACCCTTGGCATAAAAAAGGTTCACCACCCCTGCCCTGGGGCCTCTTGAGAGTGGGTGGCTTTGCCAACATTTTGATTGTGGCCTAGTGAAATTGATTTCAGATTCTTGGGCTTCAGAACTAAGAAAGGTATGTTTGTTATTTTAAGCTGTACTAAGTTTATGGCAATTTTTAATAGTAGCCTCAGGAAACTAATATAGCCCCTTACAACAAAGAATTCACCAGCCCAAACTATCATAGTGCTGATGTTGAGAAACTGTTCTAGGGGTTGAGTAGAACCTCCACTTAACGGATTTGGCTGGATTAGCCAGCCCCCGTCTGTTCTTCATTCTTGTCTGTGGCACTGAATGCTCATGGCTACTTGGCTACTCTTTAGGATTAAAAGTAAATTGTATTTTTCCCCAAAACTTTTTGTGCCAATGTCCTTGTTAATTAAATTCGTAGTTTAATTAAATGCTGAATAAACCAGTAAAATTTGAGATTGAAGATCTGGATCTTAGATGATAATAGAAAATGGGTATAATTTTTATGTTTTTAAAGTTTAAAATGCTTCAGGACATAGAAGCATTATTTCTTGCTATCTGTTTGAAGTGATCTTAAGAGCTTCCCCCTTTCAATTGATTTATGAATGATAAATTATAGGTTTTCAGTTATACTACTACAGGGTTCACTTCCAAAGCTATAAATTGGAACATGGAATTTAGTAGTTAGAAGGGGCCTAAAAGATAATAAACTGTGATCATTTTATAGCTGACAGTTTTATTGCTGATTTCTTCTTAATTTTACTCCCTTTCTTTTAACATGAAATAGGAATAGCTCTTGATGAAATACTCAGAACTTTAACAATATTAAGGTATCTTATCCATCTTTTTGCAGAACCAAGATACTATCCTGGGGCATTGAGTCACAGTATTAATTCAGTTGAAAACACTGCTTTATTTGCATTATGAAATAAGTCAGTGGAATAGTCACCCATTTGGAGCATGTGGCTGGCTAATAATAAGCCCTGGATCTCTCATCATTTCCTTTATAAATTTTGATACTTATATTATTTGATTTATTGTTGTTGGATAACAAACAGTTTAGGTAGAGGAGGTTTCTGCAATTATAAAGTCACTGACATAGTAGTTTGCTTTAAGCCTATAAAGGACATTTTTTGTTTTCTTGATGTTTCATTACGTGGGTTATATATTTTATTAAAGCAGAGAATCATCAATTAATACATTTTTACTATGCTTCCTCCCTTTATTACATATTATGTAACTAGAGGCCTGGTGCACGAGATTCATGCACTGGGGGGAAGGGAGGGGGTCACTTAGCCTGGCCTGCACCCTCTCACAGACCGGGACCCCTTAGGGAATGTCCTCCTGCCAGCTTAGGCCCAATCCCCTAAGCCAGCAGTCAGACATCCGTCTTGCAGTCCGGGTCTCTCGCAGTCCAGGACCCCTTGCTCCCGCCCACCTGCAGCAGAGGCGGGAGGGGCTCCTGCCACTGCCACTGCATTCACCAGCCATGAGCCCAGCTTCTGGCTGAGCAGTGCTCCCCCTGTGGGAGCACACTGACCATCAGGGGGCAGCTCCTGCATTGAGCGTCTGTCCCCTAGTGGTCAGTGTACACCATAGTGACCAGCCGTTCTGCTGTTCAGTTGATTTGCATATTAGGCTTTTATTATATAGGATAACTAGAGGCCCAGTGCACAAAATTCATGCAAGAGTAGGCCTTCCCCCAGCTGCTGGCACTGGCTTCCCTCTGGCACCCGGGACCCGGGCTTCCCTCCAGCTGTCGGCAGGCACCCAGGAACTGGGCTTCCTCTGGAAGGACGTCTGGTCCAATCTATATATATAAAAGGCTAAGTAACCGTCCGACCATCCGGTAAGTATGACACACACTGACCACCAGGAGGCAGATGCTCAACACAGGAGCTACCGAGCTGCTGTGACTTGACAGCGGGGGTTCTCAGGGTGACGCACCCCGGAACCAGAGAGGAGGGAGCCCGATTAAATATTAAAATATTTATTCTAATTAATTTCCTTTCAATGTGCACGAATCCATGCACTGGGCCACTAGTTAGTATATAATGCTTTTGTTATTATTGATTATTATAGATTATAGATGGTTTCCTTTGTTAATAAGTACACTCTTGACCCAGGATAGAATGTTATGAATATGGTTGGTGTCAGGGAAAGCATGTTGACTAAATCATGAAGGAATTACTATAAAAAGCTTTAAAACTGAGCACAATAGGATTTGGAAAAAAATACTATATTGTAGGGCATGCTTATCTTTATGCTATATGTAATATAGCATAAGCGCTGGCAGCTATAATTATTTGAGCTAGAAGTATGGTGTTCATTATATTATAATGCAGAGTACAAATCCTGAAAAGGAGAATCACATCATTTCAAGAGTGTTTTGTTGTTCCATAACAATGTGAAAAAATATTCTACTACCTTATGAGAACAAGGCTTATTATCTAGTACTAGAGGCCCAGTGCACGAATTCGTGCCTGGGTGGGGTCCCTCGGGGTGGCCTGCAGGGCCGCCCCCCCCCCACCTGCTCCACCATCCCACCTGTGGGGCGATCAGTTGGGGCTGGGCCCCCTGCCGGTCACCGTCTGCGGGGCGATTGAGCCCCTGCTCCCACCCACCTTGGCCTAGTGCCGCCAGCTCACCTACTCCACCATCCCGCCGCAGTCCCGCTGTCATCGGAGCCAGTAGTACCTTCACTGCCGCCCACTGCTGGCACCCACCACATTCCGTGCTGCCCCCTGGTAGTCAGCATACGTCATAGCGAGCAGTGGAACTCCCAGTTGAACAATTTGCATATTAGGCTTTTATTATATGGGCTAATTTTTTTCTCCGCATAGGCATGAGAAACTTGGTAAAGAAATATGAACCACCGAGACCTGAAGAAGTTGCTGTTTTGAAGCAGAAGTTGGAGAGATGTCATTCTGCTGAGCTTGCACTTAACGTAATTACGTAAGTAGTTGGGAGAGTGTTATTCAAAAATAGATAATGGGACTCCCTGAACTTCTTGCCCTTTTAATTTTTGGATTTTTTGCAGGTTTAAGATCTTGTCTGAGGACCAAGTATACTGTTCCAAACTTATTTTAACTACTCTAGGTAGGGAAATGGCATATTTTCTTTCAGAGGTAAACTATATTAAAGATGGAACCGATAGTAAAATGTGCTGTTAGACCTTTTTTTGCAGCCATAAAGAATACCCATAATGTCTCTTAGTGACTTGTAGGCTGTATGTGGAAATCACCATATTCAGGATCCTTATGCTTTGCAATTGGAGGATCTACATAAATGTAATCTTTTAGGAGTTTAAACAGTTGAGAATCTGGTCAGGTTATAGGAATAGAAAAACTGTAAACTGTGGCTTAGCATAGAACTTAAAATTGGTTGATTTCACTCCTGGGTTTCATTGGTAACTAACAGGAATGATTACAGAGAAGAAAAGAATGTTGACTTCAATGAGTGAAAATAGTCCACTGTGGTCTAAAAATATTAAATGAAAAATTCCAGAAATAATTCATAAATTTTAAAATTGTGTACTATTCTGAGTAGTATGATGAAATCATGCAATGTCTCACTCTGTTCCACCTGGGACGTGAATCATCTTTTTGTCCAGCATATCCACACTGTATGTACAGTACAATAAGGTAATTTGAGAGACTGCATAACTTATTACAGTATGTTATTACATTTTATTAGTTACTAGAGGCCCGATGCACAAAATTCATGCAAGGGGCTCAGCCCTCCCACGGCGGTTTGCAGCCCTGGCTTTGTCTGGAAGGTTTGGCTGTCTGGTCTAATTAGCATATTATGCTTTTATTATTATAGATTGTTAATCTCTTACTGTGCCTAATTTAGAATTAAACTTTATCATAGGTTTGTATCTATAGGAAAAAACAATATCTATAGTTTGGTACTGTCTGCAATTTCAGGCATCCACTGGGGGTCTTGGAACAATTTCCCCCACCCACCCACCCCCCATAGATAAGGGGGATTACTGAATTGCAGCACTGGTAGTTTTCTTTTTACAAGAGATTTGAAATGGGCTTAAACTATGGCTTGGCAAACTATATAGCCCATGAGCCAAATCCAGCCCCACTACCTGTTTTTAGAAATAGTTTTATTGGAACGTAACTACACACTTAGTTTTCATACTGTCTATGGCTGTTTTCACACTATAGAAGAAGAGTTGGGTATTTGAGGCAGAAACTGATGGTTATAGCCTACAAGGCATAATATATCTACTATCTGTCCCTTCAACACAAAATTTTTCAACCTCTGGATTAAACAATAGAATTTATTAATCTTACCCTTCTAGCTAGTTAATTGAATGGACCATAGCCTAAAATTCATAATTGCCAGAGTTTACATCTTACTCAAATTTACCACCCACTTTGTACTGTGCTAAGCAGATTCTACATTTCTATGTGGACTTGAAGGGTGCTTCTCAAACTGTAAAGGACTGTTGTTGTTTTTAATTCATTACAGACCTATATGTTTATAAAATATAACAAATTACTAAAAAATGAGTAAAAAAGACATATAATACAAGCTTAAATTTTATTAGATTTGATAGTCATAATTTATCAAATTTCTATAAAAGTTTCTAAACACACGCTCAGTTTCTGTATTTATTGCACACTGGAAATGGTTAATGGACCACACTTGTAAGCACTACTTTAAGATAAAATATTTGTTTTCGTCTATATCATCATTATGAAAGTCAGTCAATCAGTACAGGTAAACCAAAATTCTCTTTGACCAAAAGCGAAACCCCCGTTTCGTCCTCAGAGGTAACTTACAGTGTTCACCTTTGCCAGCCTTTTCTCCTGTATTAGTGTATGAAATAAAGTTTTTCTCTTTATCGATGTTTTCACACATATAATACAACTTTTAATAGTATCTTTAACTCTTCCTTGTCTGGATGAAAAAAAATTAGTATTTTAATTTGCATTTCCCCTATTACTCTGAGGCATTAACATTTGTATGTTTAACAATCATTTGTATTTCTTCTATATTGCTTATTTAAAACCCTTGCTCAATTTTCTGGTGTTACTTTCTTGATTTGTAGATCTATATTTTATATACTTATTATACACCTATTTTTCTTCTGTTGTTTCACTTTGTGACATGTAAGGAAATTCATCATTTGCATTATGCTTTTATATCTAAATACCTTTTCTTAACCTAGTTTGCCTTTTCAACTGTTAAAAACGTTTAGAATTGTGAATGATCTGAGGTAGAAATCTCATATTTTCAAATAACCTGTTGTAACAGCCATTTTTAAATATTTCATAATTTGCCTTATTACAGATTAAATTCCTATATATAGTTGTTTTACCTATCTAACCATTTTAACACATTGCGTACCGCATAGAAATCTCTAAGACATACTCCAGGGACCGCACGTTTTTGGGCAAACTGCACGTTATTTAAATCATCATAACTACAGATCATAATGCACTTTAGGTGTTGTTTTTCAATAATTATAACATTTTTATTTACAAAAACAATTAAACAATTAAAGTTCCTAGTACTTTTTTAACGTATGGTACTGCGTAAAACATTTTCCTCTATGAAGAGGGACCAAACAAAATTTACATAAGTATCTAGATTCGCTCCTTTTTCCATGGGCGTGAAAAACGAGAACACTCGTGAGCAGTCCTTAACAGATGGCGCGCGAAACACGGGAAAACTCCTGAGCGGTACGAAATGTGTTAATCTGTTTTAGTATTTGCTAATACCACACTTTTAGTTATCATAGCTTTTATGTATGATGTTTTGATGAGAACTGTGATACAGTCCCCACACTTCTTTTTCAGATTTAGACTTGATGAGTTCCATGAAAAATTTTATTAGGGTTTTAATTAGAATTACATTGAATTTAAGGATTAATTTGAAAGATACTGTCTTTATAATTCTTCATCTCTTTCCATGTATCCAGGCTTTGTTTTCAGAAAATGTGTTTCATATAACTATAAAATAAATTAGCAAGACTATGTTGCCGTTTATTACATTGCTTCTTGATGGTTGCCTAATTACAGGAAGAAGAGGAAAGGCTATGAAGATGATGATTATGTCTCAAAGAAATCCAAACATGAGGAGGTATGTTCTCCAAAGGTATCTATTATTCTTATTGTGCATTCTGGTATGACCATACTATTAAGATTTTATTCTTCCAGAGTGCAAGCATTATATATGTGTATATATATATATATAGATGTGTGTGTGTGTGTGTGTGTGTGTGTATTAGAAAGCATTCATACTTTTTTGCATCCTCCTCCATGTACATGGTCCATTATTAGAGATTTTTCTCACTTCTGCCTTAGTGTGTTCTGAAGCAGTATAATAGTTGCTTGCTGAAGAATCCTTCCTATGGTCATTAAAAGCAGCAGGGATAGACATACATGCTATACATTTTTAGTCTCCAAGGATTCTTCTCCTGTCCTTAAAAAGAAATTGTAACCTGGCAAGTCAGATATAAATGAATAATCAGAGGCAGAAGGTCAGAACTATAACCTTTGTCCTGTCATCAGAGTAGTCTGTGGGACCATGCCTATAAACAACTAACTATAAATATTCCTGATTTATCTACCTTCTGTAATCAGCATATTAAAAGAACATTTTCATAAAGGGAGGCAAGGAGGTAAACAATATTGGTTATGCTTCAATATAACGTTATCCTTATTGCATCTTCTTTCCTTAGGAAGAATGGACTGATGATGACCTGGTAGATTCTCTCTAACCATTTGAAATTGATTTGTCAATGCTAACAAATCAACAGAAGGATGAAGCATATCTGGCATTTAAATTTCTTTAAAAATGAAATAATGTGGAAGCATCAAAGTACAGTAAACTTTATTTATTTGAAAGTTTTTCCTTCCAGGGTAGCTTGATGTAAAATAAGGTATGTTCAAAGGACCCAGAATAGCACCTGGTTTGGATAATCTGACCCCCACCCCCATGACTAATAATTAAATTAGTCTTCCTATAGTAGCCAAAGCTGTAACTTATTGCATTTTGTTTAAAACAACATAGGCAAATAAGCAAACAGCCCTTGTGAAAAAAGGCACCATTATATGTGGTTTCTCAAATGCCATCTGATGTACTTAGCTATGTTACCACTTAACTACAGAATGTATGAAAGCTAGTGACCCAGGTATTTTTTTCCTCAATTAGTTAACTGAAAACATCTCCAAATGGTTTTCTTAAAAAGAAATCAAACAGGCAGTCTTTAGTAGTTGTCTAGATTAAAAACCTAAAGGTTGGGTAGCAGCAAATTGTATGTTCAGTTTTATAATTAACCTGTTAGATTACCATATAAATGTGTTACAGTTAGTAGAAAATTTTCAGATTAAGTATATTATTCTAGAAATTTATTTTAAATAGAAAGAAGTAGACATAAATGCACAGACTTTAGCACCAGATTACTTTGGTGTGAATCATGGCTACCTCCACTTTGGGCAAATTACTAAAGCTCTGTGCCTATTTTTTCCCCAGGGGAAAATAATGCCTCTGTATACTAAGTGTTCAATAAATGTTGGCTATTAATAGCATTTGTTTAATTATTAATTGTAATCTTACTATTCAGTTTCTAAGTTGGAACCAAATTATGGATGTTAGTCAGATTTCTTCTGGAAAACGGTTGAAGGAATTCTGAGAAACTCAACTGCCCTGAATCTGTGTTTTATGGATACATACCTTTCCTCATTGTCAATGTATCCATCCATGGCTGCGCTTTCTAAGGAGTGTAGGTACCATTTTAATTACATCTTAGTATTTGAACACAATATTTACTGCACATGTATTCTTCTCTTTAATAATTCCTTTCATTTTAGGTATGAGCTTTTTTGGTTTATTTTTAGAATGAAAGGAATAAAATTCATGAAGTGTGACTTACAAAAGTGGAGGAGTCCAAATTGACAGTCCTCCAGGCCAGGTTAAGTACCAGTGCTGCTAGGCTCTAGCCAGAACTGCAAGCTGTTCACCAATACCTTGTTTCTCTTTTAGGTCACTAAACTGGCATCAAAGCAAGGTCCACATTTATTTCAAATTTTCCTACCCAGTTTTAGAGGTTTTATTTCATCATTGACCAGCTAGTTACTGCAAGGCCTGCAAAGGTAAATAACAAGTTTCCTATTGTAGCTTAAGAGACTGGGAGGGAACCAAACTGCCTAGCACTAGGTTTTTGGAAGGAGACCAAGTTGGATACTACTGTGGTAGTCCAGCTGAAAAGCAGGAGGGAGGGAAAGGAAAGTAATATGATACAGAGAAAAAGTGGAACTGAGTTGACATTAATAAAAGGTATAGTACAGGGTATGCTGAGTTTTCTGTCATTATTCAACTGTGATTATAGCTATACCAGGGCTAGCTGCCTCCACAGAAATCTTTTAAACCCTCATATTTAACACTTTGTTTTTTCCTACATTTTAATCAGGGGGATAGAATAAAATGTTGCTCTTGGAATATAGGCCTTTAGGAAATTTCTTTAGTGTGGGAAATGATTTTCCTAATAATCTCTCTTGGTTCCTGTCTCATCCACTTTTGATATGCTGCTTAATACCTATCCCCTATACAATTATAGGAGTGAATGAATTAATATGATCCTTCTAAAGAGACCATTAGCAAAAAAAATGACCTGAAGGTTCATCTTCTCTTTGGGCCTTGCTTTAATACTAAATTTGAACTGTTTCTAAACAAAGAAGAAAATTAAATTAAATGCTTACCTGTATTTAGACAGAAGTAATCAATTAGTTAATATCCCTTGGTTTTATTTTAACTTAACCCTTGTGAATACTTCACAAAGATACACATACAGAAGCAAATAAAACTATACAAACTAAATACCCAGCAGATACAACAAGTAGTCAGAAGTTCAAAGATGGATAGCTGTTAAGTGACTCATGAGGTTGTTTGCATAATCAATTTGGAATTAATGAATACTTGAATACTTTCAACAAAAAGCATTCTAGGTGTTTTTTTAACACAAAAGAAATTGGTAGTCTAAAATGTTTGGGTAACATGCATCGATCAGTACAATGACCAATATTTATTGAATTTAAACTATTTACTGTTGTAAACATTTAACAAAAGCATTATGAGATCTAAATACAGTTTGAACAAATAAGTGGTATGTTTAAAAAATAAAGCTGATGAGCAATAGTTCCATCTATATTTTCTTTCAACAGTTCTAGCAAGAGAAGTAGCACAGTATTTTAAAAAAAAGTATACAGCAAAGGTTGTTCCTATTATAATGGCAAATTCTGGAAACTGTAACAAATAACAGTCAAACGGTCATATTCCTAATCAGGAAGAAGTTACAGTAAGAACAGTATGCAATCCAGTTGTACTCACTTGTTGACAGAGAATGCTTTTTCTTGTCAGTTGATTTCATAGTTCTTTTCCCAAGAGACAGCAAAACTTTGGCAATTGGATGTATTGAAAATATATTCTCAAAGTTCAAAGTACAGTCATATGTTGTATGAAAGGTGATCTGTACACCAAGGCTCAGAGGTTGGTAAAGATTGATTCCATATGTGGAAAAAGTGCAAATATCCTGCACAGATAGCTTACAAAGCTGCTGGTACAATTATCCACCAGCAGAATCTAGGGTTTTGTTTGCATAGCTCACACATCACTGGAATGTGGAAAGGTGTGCTATTTTTTGGCAAGAGCAAAGGAGACATACTGATGTGAATTACCATGTTGGCATGCTGAATCCATGCAGACACTTGGGTGAAGGCTGCTACCTGACATCATTGGTTTTTGTATACTGGTTTTGTTTTTGTTGAAGCAGTTCTGTTATAGCCAGAAGCTTTTTCAGTACATGCTAGACAAGGAAAAACGGTATGAAAATAATTAGTAAATGAATGAAAGCTTGGTAACTTGTGAAAATTTCTGAGTAGATTTAGTCATAATATTTTGGTTAAGTTAGACTTTTTGTACACTAAAGTGACTATAAATTCATTCATGTGTTTGGCATTCTCATATCTTAGTCCAGAACACAGATTTATGAATGATACATCTTAAGCCCAATAAGATCACATAAGGGCAATCAGTTTGTAGCATAGTGATTACTTTACATTTGGCTTAAAATTAAAAAAAATATCACCTTTACCTGTCTTACAAAGTTTTAATTGGGCCAAATCCTCCAATAAAGATTTAAGTAATAATAAACCTAGCCCCAGTATAGCAAGGAGACATTATGCATGCCATGGGCATATTAGTAGGCCCATGGTACATACTCTACCCAAGTTTCTAAAGTGATTAGAACCTTAATGAGCCAGATTATTATCTTAAACTTTGATTTTAGAATCTCAGATTGAAGAAAACTCAGTCCTTTGTCCTATAAGGTCCCTGACAAATGGTTGGCCAATGTAGTGTCCTAACCTGGAAGAGCTTATTAGAAATCGCAGTTTCCAATGTCACATCTAGAATTTCTGGATCTGGAGCTTGAAATATTTTTTTATCAAACTTCCTGAATAATTCTGTTTGTGAATCACTTGCCCATGTACGGTGTGTGAGAGACAAAGCCACATCACTGCTGACTTATTAGCTCATTTCCCATTTTCACACATGCCACTGAAGTGTATGTATCATTTTTTCTGTAGAGTTAACATTAATTTATATAAAACAGCAAGATTTGACATTTTGCAGTATCAAAAATACATACTCTGAGCCTATTATTCCTGTCTGCTGAGAGCCTTACTGGGATTATGGTTCATTCTTTAAAATGTAAATATAACTGCTAAAAATGCTGACCATAACTCAGCTACTTATTACCTCTCAGAGAATCGTAACTGTTAATGAAACATTGTTAATGAAGACTGGCAAAAACCTACCTGCTGTGCACCACGCTCATTACTGAGCGTTCTCAGTTCATCTGAATGGGCCACACAAATCTCATGCAATGCTGCTAAATCACGGGAGAGGTCAGTCCTAGAATGCTCTGTAGTGTCCGGAAGTTCAGGTACATTCTTTAAGGAAATCATAAAACTGCATTTAGAAATATAAATCTTAAAATTTCTTCTGAAAAGATCCTAATTGGTTATAATAGAATTAGCACATAATATCCTTTTAAATTTCTGTTAAAATCCTAAGGACTTATTGGAATGTAATATTCAATGCTAATTCCGCTAAACATAGATTTTGTGATCTTGGTATTCACATCAAAACCATTTTCTTCGACAGCATGGCTGAACACTGTGCATTATTATTGCTATTCTAAATAAACGGGTTTCATGAACTTTATAGAGGTTTGTTTTGTTTTGTTTTTAAATGTGGAACGCATGCCAAAAAATGTAAGTACTGTATTGGTTGCTAATATGGATTAAATGCAACCTAAACTTAAAATTCCTTTCAGACTGAATCTCATTATTAAGATATCATAGTTTGTCTAAATTTATCAGCATATGTGAGAAGAATGTGTCAAGCCTATAGTTAATTATCTGTGGATTATTCCCAAAACACTTGCTAATGTGTGAATATGATCAGTGTTAATTATGGTACTTCAGATAAGGTTCGTAAAGTAACAGTCACTATAGGACATTGATAGTACTTTATTAACACTAAATACTGATATTTTGAGCCTCGGAATAAAATATGACATGGGCTCCAGAATGGTGACAATATTTACTATACAATTCCTAAATACTGCAAAACACTGTTTACTATAGTATAAAGAAATAATTAGAATATAATTCATTCTTATTTATTAAATGACTCAGTAATGAAAGACACTAGTATTTGCCCTGAGAGAGCTTACAGTCTAGTTGATATGACAAAACTAAACTGATCATAGCAATACAGAATTTTATATCACAGACATGCGGAGTATACTTAGGAAGCAAAAGAAATTTCATTTTTTTAGGGCTCAGCAAAGCCTTCCTGAAGGAGAGATTTGAGGTGAGTCTTGAAAGTTAAATTTGATTTATACAGGAAGAAAAGGAATGGAAGAGTATTAGAACACTGGGATTCTAAGCAATTTGAAAGGCTAGACTACACATGTGGCATTACTAGGAAAGTGGTAGAGAAAGCTGAACTGTAGATAATTATGATTATGGAAAATGGAGTTCCAACCATGAATCTGAAAACCTAGAAATGTGGCTTAAGATAAAATGAGCTAGCCTTAAATATTGGATAAACAGTTTTCACACAGCTTCTTAAATATTATTTTCAACCACTGACCAACTAGATTTCTTAGAAACTAGAAGTACTTCTATCTTCAAAACTTACCAGGTCACATATGGAAACATGAAGAACACAATTATTTGCCCTTCTTTGTTTCATAAGAAATTATTTACAGCATAGGTCATTTCTACAGTATTGTTTTTATACCTGAAATTGAAAACTGGGGGCCCACAAGCAGTCCTGATAGGTTTGACTGCATAGTGGTATAGTTGTTGTTTTTCTGTTTTAACTGAATTTGAATGCATTAAGGCAGAACATGAGCATCTCACTTTCCTACTGTAGCATTCCCTAATACCATGTCTAAATTCACATATATATGTTCCCTTTTTGGTTTCTATATATATGAACTGAATAGCAAATACATTTATTTGATTTTAAATTGAGTCAGTATCTGAAAATTTATAACTAAATTGTACTAAGAGTAAGAAATCCAGGGTCTTAGAAATTATTTTCTTTAAAACCCCCATTCTTAATTTCATAATCACTATTTTACTTATAAAGGCCCAAGTAAGGTATAGGTAGTCGTACTAACTGAAGTATAACTCCAAATCCATGTATATTATTCCTAGAAAGCCATAAGAATATTCATTCTCCAGTCCATTTACTTAAAAGTAGCAAAAGAATGTCACAATAGTAAGGTGAAACAACTAATAGAATAATGAAAGAAAAACTAGAAAATGACACAAATCCAAAAGCCCCAATAATGTATGCTTGGTATAAATCACTTAGTCTAAGAATAAATGGTTAAAACTATAGTCAAAATATTTTGTTTAAGAAGGTAAACAAAAGTATGCAGTTTTTTTAGTTCTGGATAGAAAATCTCTTTAAAAGTTTGTTGCTAAAATGAGTTTACTCTCAGCTATATTAACTATAGGTCTCAAAGTACTTAAAAAGTTATATACATACCCCAAGTTCATCTAAAAACATGATCATACGATGTTTGTTACTTTTGATGAAAGGATTGACACCTTCCATATAGGGTTCCTAAAAATATAAACAAAAAACTCACTTTATATGCATCAAAAACAAACACTGTCTGATCTATATAACAAAACATACATGTAGTAAGAATTCTTATATATCTGTATCCATCAGTAGCAATACATGTTCACAGTGACAATATTTTCACTCTGATACAAGCAAACAGTTATACTAGTGAACTGGAATTTTTAAATGAAAAAATAAATTCTGGAATGAGAACAAATCAGAACACATAGCCTAGCAGATACAAACTGCTCATATGTAATTCATTCAAAAATAACTTCTAAGAAACTATTATTTGTCAAGCACCAAGACAAACATGGGTCCAACCCTGAGGGTAGAATCTAGCCGAAAATGTAGGGAATTAAAATACAGTGTGCTAAGGACTATAATAGGAAAATATGTATGACTTAGATAAATCCAAAAACTAAGCCAGACATACAAACTGCTCTTCATACTAAAATCGTATATGCTATGTTGTAAAATAGGAGGTTAGTATTAACTCAAGCACTTTTAAAATCAATAAGTTCAATAAGGAGATGAGATAAAGACCTCATTAATTCCAAGAAATAAACATGAAAAATCATTCAATTTCTGTAAGAGTAATGAAACACCAAAGTATCATTATGCCTGTTTTTCATCAAAGCTGTGGGGAGCAAAAAGTCTTGTAATTTTATTCCAAAGTTAGTTTAAGATAATAACTGGCCCTAACTGGTTTGGCTCAGTGGATAGAGCATCGGCCTGCGGACTCAAGGGTCCCAGGTTCAATTCCGGTCAAGGACATGTGCCTTGGTTGCGGGCACATCCCCGGTGGGGAGTGTGCAGGAGGCAGCTGATCGATGTTTCTGGCTCTCTATCCCTCTCCCTTCCTCTCTGTAAAAAATCAATAAAATATATTTTAAAAAAAAGAAAGATAATAACTAGATGAGTTTGGAAGGAAAGACATATAGACACTTGTTACAGCAATATTTATGATAGTGCCAAATTGGAAGCCATCTAAATAGCTATTAGAGAACTATTTAACATCTATCTACATGGTGGCATACTAAATAATCATTAAGCACAATAAAAGTTAAATATTTTCAGGTACAGCAAGTTTGTTACATTATGACGACAGCATGTGATATAGTATGATCCTTATCATGATATTAATATTAACAGTCTTCAGTCATGGGATCACACATGGGTGTTTTAAAAGTTCATCCAAGTTTTAAAATTTATAGTGAATGTTTATTGTGAAATAAATTTTTAAAGATGGGTTGGCAAGCATTTAACATATGCTGACTGATTGAAGATACAGTTTTCTATACTGAAAATTGAAAATATAGTTTTCTATAATGGCTAGAATAGTGGTCTTAAAAATTCCATTATTTACAATGTAAAATCTAAACAAAACAGTTTTTAAAATAACGTATCAACAAAAATATAAATTCTCTTTATGAACTACCCATTATTGTATTTATATTTTATGATTTTATGTCGTTTCATTCATGAATATTTTAAAGAATAAAAATGTTTTTACCTTGGCTCCAAACTCCACAAGATTAGCTAAGTTCTGTACAGACTTAGCCACTAATATCAGTGTTCTTGCAGCAATAGGAGATGGGGAATCTATAAGAGAATTGGGCAGAGCTAATGAGACCAACTCCAAAAGTACTTCCAGGTAAGACCATTATAAATTTAGGACATTAATATTTCTTTCCTGTTAAAATACTAATGTTCTCCCATTCAGAACTCATATTTTTTTTGAAAATATGTGACCTCTACAATTCAAAAAAACTTGAGTAAAAGGGGAAAATGTTGAAGCACTTAGCAGTGCTTCTAGTTTTGCAACTCAGCAATTCCCAACAAATGAATGTTTCAGAGTACCTCAAAGCTTTATTTTCTTAAAACAAACAGAAAACCTGTCACTCTATACAACCTCCGTGACAATTCACAAAGCTAATTTCAACCCACTCAGGTTAGCAATTTGCATTCTGAGCAATTCTCCACTCCAACCGCCCACTGACCAAATAATTCACTGTAAAGCTCAGTCTGGGATAACCCCTGCTCTATTTTTAAGAGAAAAACATGCAATTTCATGAACTGTTAAAATATGTTAAAGATTAGTCAGGAAACAATTCTTTATAGAATATACATAGTAGGATGTAAATGAAAAGTACCTATTAAATACAAGCCCTGAAACAAGATAATTACTAAAATTTAATAGTAAAAACCTATAGGGTGTATGAATGCCTGATTTTACTAGATTTTACTCTTTGTATCTCAAGCTATAAACTATAGATAGTATTGCCTAGTGGTTCAGAGGCCAACATTCAGATAAGTAAATCTCTCCAAAAAAATTCTAAACCCTTAAATTTTAATAGACCATAGATTTAACCATTTTAGTAATGATAGAAGACAATAACAGAAATTGGGTGGCTATAAAGGTAAAAATTAAGATAATCCTAAATATTTTTAATACAACTTTAAGCTTTAAATCATTAAGATAAAAATGGTTCAGACTCCTTATTCTAATAATGGCTCATTATTACATTGAGTCACAAATATCACGTACAACATCTGCAAGTCATTACATAATGGACATACAGGTAATAAGCAAAACTGAATCTGGTTTATTGGAATTAAAAAACGGCTGATAAACATTATATAACTGGTGATAAGAAATTCCTAATGGAAAATCTCTAAAGAGCCACTTTAAGTATTCACAGAGCACTACTGCAACTATAGCACACAGAAAGCTCTTCTCCCCAGCATGAAAAGGACAAGATGCAGATAGGAAAAAGGCATTGTAATAAGAGTTTGAGACACAAGTAGAAATGGGAAAAAAAGCAGTATGTATCTAATCATGCCATCTCTGGCTTCATTAGATGAGAAGGGTAAAAGAAACAAAATGGCAAGAAAAGGTAAAGAGAAACCATGTAACCTCATTAAATAGAATGAAGTTTTATTCTAATTTTTTAATTTAAAAATGTATCAAAAATTGATTACCTGAGATGATGTTAAACATCCGTGGATTCAGGATGGCAGGACAGATAAGTCGAAGAAAAACAAAACCACTGAATGGGAGGAAATAATTTTATTTTTTTAGAAAACTACTACATTAAAAAAATAAAAATTTGTAATACTCATAGAACCATGAACTTTGAACTAATATAGGGAACCACAAACAGAGCTTTAAGAAAATAGCTAACAGTGTCTTACTTTAAGAACATATATATCCTTGCCCTAACCGGTTTGGCTCAGTGGATAAAGCGTTGGCCTTCGGACTGAAGGGTCCCAGGTTCGATTCTGGTCAGGGGCATGTACCTTGGTTGCAGGCACATCCTCAGTAGGGAGTGTGCAGGAGGCAGCTGATCGATGTTTCTCTCTCATCGATGTTTCTAAAACTATCCCTCTCCCTTCCTCTCTATAAAAAAAATCAATAAAATATATTAAAAAATATATATATATACATACTCACTTTTCCCAATTTTGGAATTTTAGGTTTATGTTGGGCAGATTTAAATTATATTTATAGTACTTACTATCTTGGCTACTATTTATTTATTCCAAGCTAGTAGTACATTTTTAATTTAATTTGAGAAAGCAGTGTCCTTAAAAACATTAAGAATTTCTGGAAAAATTACAGGAGCACAAATAAACCTTTATATGGATACATAGTTCTGAAAGGTATTAAAACTTACATTCTCTCAATTTTCTTTCTGTATTTAAACAGAACAACCCAGTAAAGTCTGACATAAGTCAAGTTCATTCTATTGATTCTGTTGATAAGTCATATGAAAATAAGAATCCATTGTACTAGGGAATAGGTGAATCCTTGACAAATTAAAAAATATATAATAGGATGCTGAAAAGCTTTTATGGCCATAAAGAAAAAGATAAGCTTTCTCAAGTTAAAAAATATGTTCTCAAATTACAAAATAATAAAAACCAAAAAGTAATGTTAAAGAACATGGCTTAACAACATTGTCATATATGATTTTTACCTGTTAATCTTACTCTTAGAGAACAATATATTATGTAAGACTGCAAGCTATTTAGCTTTTTCCTAACTTGCCACCTTCAGTTACTGATAGAGTATATGTTTTCATGTAGACAATTTTTCTCTAATTTCCTTTTAAGAGGAATACACACTAACAGTTGACCTCTTACTTGCCTCTTATAAAGACAAGCATTATTCACACATTGGACATACGCCAGGGACCGCACGTTTTTGGGCAAACTGCACGTTATTTAAATCATCATAACTACAGATCATAATGCACTTTCGGTGTTGTTTTTCAATAATTATAACATTTTTATTTACAAAAACAATTAAACAATTAAAGTTCCTAGTACTTTTTTAACGTATGGTACTGCGTAAAACTGCGTATGGGGCTACGTGTTCGGACCATAGGTTCAAGCTTACAACCACAGCTGTTGGCTATGATTGTGCTGGGAGGGCCCTGCCCTCCAGCTGGGACTTGCACGTGGCAGTGAGAGGACCCTGTCCTTTCATTAGTCCGAGGCTTGAACCTGGCCAAAACACTGTAACCGCGCCCCACAGTGGACAAGACAGTGTGTTGACATCTAAGGTCCATAACAGATGGCACACGAAACACGAGAAAACTCCTGAGCAGTACGCAGTGTGTTAAAACTAGATGCCTGGTGCACAAAATTTGTGCACCTGTGGGGGGAGGGTGTGGTGGTGGTGGTGGTGTGTGTGTGTCCCTTAGCCTGGCCTGTGCCCTCTCGCAGTCTGGGAGCCCTCGGGGGATATCTGACTGCCAGGGAAGCAGCAGAGGCTCCCGCCACCGCTGCTGTACTTGCCAGCTGTGAGCCCAGTTTCTGGCTGAGAAGCGCTTCCCCTGTGGGGGCACACTGACCACCAAGGGGCAGCTCCTACATTGAGCGTCTGCCCCCTGGTGGTCAGTGCGCGTCATAGCGACTGGTCGTTCCACTGTTTGGTTGATTTGCATATTAGCCTTTTATTATATAGGATAGTTGATAAAATTCCTTTTAGAGGCTAAAATCATCAATACCATCTCTATTCTCAGCATTTACCTTCCAAAATCTGACACTTGGCTAATTTTGGACTCTTAGAACAGGGGTCCTCAAACTACGGCCCGCGGGCCACATGCAAATACAAATATTGTATTTGTTCCCGTTTTGTTTTTTTATTTCAAAATAAGATATGTGCAGTGTGCATAGGAATTTGTTCATAGTTTTTTTTAAACTATAGTCCGGCCCTCCAACGGTCTGAGGGACAGTGAACTGGCCCCCTGTTTAAAAAGTTTGAGGACCCCGTCTTGGAAAGTGAATATGCAGTTGCAATTAGAATATACGCCAACAATGATTAAGTCTTTAAATTTGGGTTTATTTTATATTTATGAAGACTCTTGTACAGATTCTACCTGAACATATTTTGATACTTAAGTGTTGGAGGCAACATCAAACCATAAAAGAGTTTCAATGTGCAAATCTACTTTCTGTTTTAAGAGGGATACTAGGTACCTACACATACATTTAAAAGCTTATTAGGAGCAAAAATCATCACCTTGGGCATAAATGCCCCTTAAAATACCCGGCAGTAGCAAACAGTCCACAGCAGAATTTCCTGCTATGCCTGCTTAACACATACACTTGTTTGCAACTTAGAGTTTATAGAAGTGTTAATTTACATCACACATATAGCTGTGCAGAATATGCTTGTGATTCTTTTTTATTCTCAATCACTACTAAAGCCAAGAAATACAGAATCTATAATTTTTAAATATTTTTGTCATACGATTCTAAGATTTTTACCTAAAAAGAGTAGAAGCCTTTAAAAAATTTAGGTTGGGGGCCAGATTAACACACACTTTCAAAACTAATTGTATGTTACGGTTTTTTTTAGTGGTTGGGTAATATTTTTAAGGGGCAGAACATGACTGGCAAAATATATTCTAAATAGTAAATTCTATCATTATTAGACTACTATATTCTCTGATGCTTTATCACTAAGTTTCCAATTGGTTTGAATGGATTGGGGTGTGCTTTACAAAAGCCTGCAATAGTACTCAGAATATTAAATTGGGGCCCAGCCTGTGTGGCTCAGTGGTTGAGCATTAACCTATGAATCAGGTCTCACAGTTCCATTCCTGGTCAAGGCACATGCCTGGGTTGTAGGCTCAATCCCCAGAAAGGCGTGCAGGAGGTAGCCGGTCAATTACTCTCATCATTGATGTTTCTATCTCTCTCTCCTCCCTTCCTCTCTGAAATCAATAAAAAATACATATATTTTTTAAATACAATATTAGATTGTGTCTTAGAAGTTTAGTCTTTAGTTCTGTCTTAGCCACTAACTTTGCAATTTCTCCTAATTGCTGCACAATGAGTATACCAACAAAACTTCAGAACTAGAGGCTCTGATTGGAGATTAGCCCATGGTCACAAACTGTGTTACAAACCAATTAATATCAAAATGGCTCAATTATTGCTCTTCTTAGCACCAAGTTAATCTCTTTTTCTTTCCTTCCTTTCTCCCTCCCTTTGTCTATAGGTAAGTATGTATATGTGGGTGTGTGTGTGTATAAAGAGTACTATAAAGTTAGCTACAGATTTTGTTGATTATTCTATAAAATAAAAATCTCCAATAGTTAACTGACTATAAATGAATGTTTGGGTTTTTAGAAAATGCAAAAGTTATCTCAGTAATCATAGTAACTTCCAAAAAAAACCCCCAAAACACCCCAACAACACTGAAAGTTACTTTAGGAGCCATCTGAACTCAGAACATATTCAACAGGGTTCAGAATAAAAAAAAAAGGTTTTGAATTGTACACTGTGTACTCTGAGTCTTCAAATTTTCACAATTATCCTCTTGACTCTCAGTGTGTGCCATATACAGTGATGTAATAAATGAACTGCTTAGCCTTACCTAACAACTCTTGTTCTCATGGTGGTATTTGTAGGCCACTTGTGCTGAACAGATTTCTGTAAACACCCATAAATATATCTCAGTGTCCTGCCAAAATAACACAATCATCTCAATACAGAAAGCAAGTGAAAATACTGATTTCATTACAAAGTTTAATTTACCAAATACATAACATTTTAATGCAACTGACCTTTTCCCAAAGTAATGAGAGAATCAAGTTTTCATCATTAATCATTTAACCAATTTTTTTACATTTGCTTTGGAAGAAATCTTACCATATTTAGATTATTCTATTTATGAAAAAAGTACTGGGATAAGGATACAGAGGAACTAATGAGTTCAGGTTTGGGGGAGTTGTTGACTTCAACAACTTCTACCTGATTGAGTTAACTAACACTGGAAGCCATTAAGCAGACTGGATAGAGATATGTCTTTTATCATTTCCTCAAATCTAAGACTATACCTCTATTCATTTCCCAAGTCACTATATAAATCAGACATGAGCTTGTATAAAAACATGATTTGTTTTACTTAACGTAAATATTTCACACGCTTCTTCAAGTCAGTCTTCTTAAACACAATTCATTTTGTAAAGATTAAAACCCCTAACTATTTCAAAGTATCCTAACATCAGCACAGTGGAAAAGCTTACATTTTAGAAATACAAATTTTTCAAAATGCAGATACACAATTTCTTGTCAAATTAAAATTCACCACTTACGGTGGAAGTATTTCTGAAGCCATGAATATTTTCTCCACAAGCTCTGAAAGTATGTTCAATAGGTGTGCTAAATTAGTGTTCACATCTTCATTTTTTTCTAATTTTGATGGACTTAACTAAGAGAAGGAATAAATCAATATAAATGCATCTTGGCAATGATAAACACAAATGAATCAAGGTAATCAAACAGTTCTTTTCAAGGTTCTCTATTTTTTCCATCTGTATTAGTCTTTTGGCGGGTGTGTGTGTGGGGGGGATATAAGTAGTATATGCTATGAAGCTCCTTGGGTTTGTTACCATTAATTTCCAATTACAGTTGACCCTTGAACAACATCGGTTTCAACTGGACAGGTCCATTTATACGAGGACTTTTTTCAATAAATACCTTTACTTTTACTGTGGTTGGGAGTCTGAATGCAAAGGGCCAACTGTAGCACTGATCTGTGCCTTTTTATATAATAAACTTGCACATCCACAGATTTTTATATACATGGGGGTCCTGGAACCAATCCCCCAGCAATACAGGAGGAAAACTAAGTTTTGAGGGAGTCATGAATTTTATGTGGGTTTTTGACCATGCAGGAGTAGGAGTTGGAGAGCACCCCTAACCCTCCCCCACTCCAGATTGTTCCAGGTTCAACTGTACTGAATTGAAGAGCAAGCTATGATTATTCAACAACTTTCAATTGCTCTGGAATCAATGCCAGTATTAAAGTTTTTTTCTGTTCATTTATCAGATTTTACCATAGACCTTTACATTCACATAAAATTGGGTTAGACTTTATTTTAAATATAGTATTCTCAGCTAAAAGACAAAAAGTAAAAAACAACAAAAAACACAGTTTTAGTGGCCAAATAGTCACAAATATACTAGGAGTATTTAAATGGGAAGAAAGATCACCATACTGTTATTGTAATGTCTGTCTTAATTCTATTTATTTGAGGGAAAAAATGGCTTTTCTGAATGGGATAAGACTTATTTATCACTAGAAAATACCAAATGCCTGGGGCAGAATCATGAACCTTTCTCAAAACTTTTCCCTGAAATGTAAGTGTCCTGATCTAGACTGGAGTACATTTCTCTAGAGATGTCTAAATTCCCCAGCCTGGATCTAGCAACAGACACTAAGACTTGTTGAATTCCTATATCCTTACTAGTTAGACCATCTGTGGTGTTACCCCAGGTTTTCAACACTAATTCTCTAATTAGTAAAAATTGACAACTTAATGCAGAATTAACATGTTCTCAGTGTATATTGTCAAAAGCAATTTATTAGAGTTAAAAATATATTTAGTATCTTCTGTAGTTGCTCTACCTTCAGAATAAAATGAGAGAATAGCCATAAGTGAGATACCACTCTTTCTCTTCAATGATTTACTAGGAATTTACACTGCAGCCTTTTTTTTCTTTTGTGAAGATTATATCATATTACCCCACACCCCCAAAAATGCCTTAAGGACAAATCTAAATGTTATGATGAGCTACATAGAATTTAACTAGGTTATACAACAGAAACTTAAGATTCTGTTACTCGCAACTTCTGAAAGCAGCATATATTTATCAGTATAGTAGGAGAAATAATAAAGTACTTTCATGAATTCCTGGTGCAGTATGAGGTTTTTATCCCCAAATAAAGCCATCTTTAAGAAAAAAAAATCTGTTTTACGTAACATTTTCCAAAAGTAGTAGTACAACAGGTATAACTGCTCTGATAATTTTAGAAAGCTAATGTAGTTCCCTTAAAATGTAATCCTTCCTATATAATAAAAGCCTAATATGCTAAGTGTCCGGTCGTCCATTCAACCAATCAAAGTGTAATATGCTAATGATATGCTAAGGCACTCAACTGCTCACTATAATGTGCACTGACCACTAGGGGGCAGACTTTCTGACTGGTAGGTTAGCTTGCTGCTGGGGTCTGGCCAATCAGGACTGAGCGAGACGGGCTGGACACACCTTGGAGCCCTCCCATGATCCCTCCCTGGCTGGCAAACCTTCCATGTCCCTACCCGGCCCCAATCGTGCACCGGTGGGGTCCCCTGGCCTGGCATGCGCCCTCTCTCAATCTGGGACCACTCGGGGGATGTCGGAGAGCTGGTTTTGGCCCAATCCCACAGGCCAGGCCAAGGGACCCCACTGGTGCATGAATTCGTGCACTGGGCTTCTAGTTAACTATAAAGTATTACCTATTAAAATATGCTGTTTGTCATACCTCACAAGATTGCTTGCTTTCCATTATCTTTAAAATGGAGTCTTTCAAAGCATGATGGACAAATTGTGTAGCAGTGGCTTTCATATACTGCTCCATCAAGGTGCTTGCAAGTGTTGTGGCTCGAAATAAGGTAGTGGCTTCATCTACATAAATATATTAAAAGGTTATCTGTAAATAACTGTACTAATGTGAACCAACTAGAAATTAAATAAATTCATTTTTACTTCAACGATTTTAACCATTTGAGTATGCTTATTTCCATCCAGCATTAAAGTACTGATTATAATGACAACTTTATTCTATAAACTTAAGTCTTCAAAAAGCTAATACAGTCTTCGGGTTACATCGGACTCGACGTATGTTGTTTCGTGGTTACGTCGCCATTTCCCATTAATTAAAAAAAAAAAAAAAAAAAGTCCCGTCATTTCGATGTATGTACATATGTGCTTTAAGTTTGTTATTATTCATTTACCACAAGTAAAGGTCAGGAATTGTTATCTTTCTTTTAAACTTTTTTTACTGTTTCACTTAATTACTGCTGTGTATGTGCTCCATGTGAGTGACGTAGGTGCTTATGTAGGTGGGTTCCAACTTACGGCGAAAATCGAGTTACGTCGTGCTGTAGGAACGGATCTCCGATGTAACCCGAGGACCTACTGTATCTATTATTGCATTAGATTATAAACAGGAGAAGGGATTACTACTATCGTGTTCATACCAAAAAAAAAGGTTTAGACTAGTTAACATAAAACCCCCAAATAAATTAATATATGAGTCTAAAACATGGCTACTAATCCTATATAATAAAAAGCTAATATGCAAATGGTCGTCGAACCCTTGCGCCAGGCCAGGGGACCTGAGGCTGCGCCCCCCCACCCTGCAGGGCTTGACAGGGGTGGGGCCAGCCCAATCTGGGTCTTGCGCAATTTTGAGGTGTGCAAGAGTGGACGGGGACTTGACTCTGGGTCCCGCAGTGCACCCCAGACTCTGACAGGAGGGAGATTTTCATATACATTTTACTAATTTTCTTTCATCTCTGACACTTCTATTATAGAGAAAGGGCAAATAGCAATATTAAAATATTTCCTCTATTTCCTTTTTTAAAAAATTTATTTTATTGACTTTTTACAGAGAGGAAGGGAGAGGGATAGAGAGTTAGAAACGTCGATGAGAGAGAAACATCGAACAGCTGCCTCCTGCACACCCTCTACTGGGGATGTGCCCACAACCAAGGTATATGCCCTTGACCGGAATCGAACCTGGGATCCTTCAGTCCGCAGGCCGACGCTCTATCCACTGAGTCAAACTGGTTAGGGCTAAATAATTCCCTTTTAATGTGCATGAATGTAATGCACTGGGCCAATAGTGATTTAAATAAAATTCTAAAAAACACAAATATTGCCAGTGTAAAATACATATCACCACTTGATCTTTCCTGATACATCTGTATATTACATTTTCTACGATTAAAAGTAAATAGTTTTAGATTTTACAGTTTATTTGGGGGAGCCTAGAGGCAAACAATGTCACTGAGTCAAAGTGCTGGCTGGAAGTGATTATTCTGACATATTTGTAAGCTGTTACAATGCACTGTGTGCCTAGCTATAGTGCCCGGGAAATACTTATCTCTATAATTTAGAAATGAAATTCAGCTGGCACCAATTTCTGTGCAATAAATTAGTAAGTAAAAAGTAAAAGAACATGGTATGTATATCACACTGTTCTTAATAAAGGACTAGAAGTCATTGATCTGCACACACAAGTCACTTTCTTATGACTTCTAATACTAATTTGTCATGACAGAAACTTGTATTAAAATAACCACCACCCATACTAGCCAGAACAAGAGTCAGAACTGGCATTCTAACTAATTTTTAATAAAGGAAAAACAATTTATTTTGCAAGATGATTAAACTGTTTAATATATTCTAACATAGAATCCACATATATTTGCTATTTAAAATCTAATTATTGACCAAATTTTTAAAAGTATCACATTAACACATCCATACTGTACCTTCCATGCTTATTTCTCTGTCATTTAGTGTACATAGCAACAATGATTCAAGCTTTTCATGAAGGAAAATCCTCAGTAGGATGCTAGCCAGTAGTGTTCGATCCTGTCCACACACATGTGATAAAGCATAGACTACATGAAGGTCCTTTTGCAGTATAAGCTAAAAATGACATCAAGAAAGATTGTTGAAAGTACAGCATTAAGCATTCGCAGTGAGATTAACAAAATATGTTCTTTTATGTTCTTACTAGAGGCCCAGTACATGAAAATTCATGCACTGGGGGGTGGGGGGAGGGGGTCCCTCAGCCTGGCCTGCCCCCTCACAGTCCAGGAGCCCTCGGGCGGGAGGCGACCCAGCGATCGGGAAGGCGACACCCACATCACACCTCTGCTGCTGCCACTGCCAGCAGCACAAGCCTCGGGGGGCTGGGGGGCTGAGGGGACTGGGTGCCGCCATCCTTGAGGGCGTGGCAGTCAATTAGCATATTCCCTCCTTATTGGCTGTGGGCGCCCCCATCTTTGAGGGCAGGGCAGCAATTAGCATATTCCCTCCTTATTGGCTGTGGGTGTCACCATGTTTGCAATGGCGTGAGGGTCAATTAGCAAATTCCCTCTTTATTAGGATATTTACGAATATGTTGTATTGAAAAAATTTATTTAAAAAAGATTAAGTTTGTAGCCTACATATTTTTGTTTCCTGAGACTAACCTCATACTACCAAAGGGTGTTCAACCCTCTTTTGTCTGTTAGTGTGACACTAAGCTATGGAATTATTACACTTAATGAATCTTTTATTAAATGTTAAATATTTCTGTTAATGCCGTAAAAAATAAGTAGACTAGTAAATAACTGATTACCTCTTTAAATTCACTGTATTCTTCTTCTGGCATGATTTTTTCCATAGAATATCGTGCCCGGACACGCAGGGATCCTGGTTCAATACCTTTTAATGGTATATGGGAGCTGAGCAAAAACCATTCATCTGTGGCATGCCCTTTCTGTAACCGGCTCAATTGGCAGCGCATAAATACTTGGATAGAAAAACATCAAATGATTACTATCTAAAAAGATGACACTATAAATTAGTCACACACGTAAATTATTCTGATATTTTGCCTTCTCTACAGTGTTAAATGCTTTTTATTAAAGAAGTTTACTTCATTTAATATTGACTTCATTCATTTCTTGAATGTCTACTATGTGTCAAAATCTGTTATAGGCAATGATTTAGGATACAGGCATGATTAGAGAAATAAAGTAAACATTTTATAGAGAAAGATTCAGGCTTGGACCTATCTGTTAATACAAAGCACTTCTCTAAACATGACTTTTAAGAAGGTATTAATAACCTAATTCACAGATATGTGAATTGCTAAATCCCACTGCCACCTGTTTCAGCAACAGGCAGGGAAAAAGTGAACAAATAGTACACTCGTGTTTATAGAAAAAAGTTTTTTAAATAGAGTGCTTTTTTTCCACTTACTTGCAAAGTAGAAAAGGAAAAACCTAAAAAGGGTAAGAAGGGGTAGGGGAAGAACAACAGAAAGATGACCACTTTTACTGTTTTCTTGTTTTTCCTACTCATTAGGAAGGGGAGGGTGAATAGATATGTAATTTAATCTTAAAGGCTTCAGTTTAGAGTAGGTATAATTTAGTCATATCAATAATTTTTAGAAGTACAAAAAAACTACCTCAAATTATACTACTTGTACTTCTATTTTTAATTTCCATTTTCTATTATAGTACATTATGGATTTTAAAAGTACACAAAACATGTTTGTCTTTTAGTTTAGAAAGAAATTTCTGTATCAACTTACAGATATCAGGATCTTTGCTTTTCTTTGTTTTATTACTAAGAGTTATTTCAAATCTGTTGATGTCAGGAGGAAGATCACTAAAAGAGCAAGAAGAAAAAGAATTAACAAAATGTCCTGGCATTAAGCTATCTAATTCGTTTATTTCTAGTATCCAATAAGGCTCCTAGTTTGCTACTAAACAACTTGAATATGTTAGGTTTACAACTATATTCAAAATGTTTTATTGCTTGGTATATGGGAATATAGACCAGCAAATTACACTTTCCCTAACATCTTTAACCTTCTCAGGTAAATCCTGGAAACCTTCGTAACATTTTATATGTGTGTGTTAGTAAATGGTTTAGGACTTGTCACTAATGCTAATTCATATTAATTACTAGGTGGAAAACAAAGGACATAGCACATTACT